TTGTTGACCACTATCTGTGATGAATGTCTGAGAAATCAAACTTGAATCTCACTCCCTTAACACTCAATGTCTTTATTAACTGCGTCAAACAACAACACGAGCTTCGTGTTGGATAAGCTTCTCCGGGCCGGGCCGGGCCGGGTTGAGATTTGAGTGTACGGAGTATTTGCAATAGTCAAATTATTAGGACCCACACCCTAATTGTCTTGTTATAAAGTGAGTTGTACTTAATCTCAAAAAGGACAGCTCCTTTTGCAGTGTTTTTTTGTTCTTATTAAGTAAATTAAGCATACGACCTTTGCATTTGCATGTGACTTTGTTTTCACTAATTAATGTCCACCAATTTCTCCCCCCCCCCCCTCCCCCCTAAACTAATGTCAATTCTCTCACTGTATTTTATCCGTTGATGCCCCCTCCCACTCCCACCCATCATTAACTCCCATTTTTAAATGTTGGAAAATTAAAACTCTTGCTTTCATTTGAAGTTTAATTATGGAAAAACATACCCTATTATCCCTGTTAAAACTCTTACTTCCAAACTAAGTGCCAATTGAATGATTTCTGTTGGGGATTTGAGATAACATAAATTTATTTGAGAGTCGTGATAACACTTTCAGATTGATTGTTTGAGAGTTCAATATAAAATCAATCGGGTAAAACTCAAATTATTGATCAAGAACAAGTAAAAATTGTGAAGAACTTTCGAGCTACCTTTTATGACAAAATTTGTGAGATGTTTTACAGGCGCGAGGAAGGGCGAAAAATTGCGTTCGTGACTTTGTCCAATGTTCGCGTATAATCGCGTGAAAATAGTAAGAGGCGGTCCTTCAAATTTCTTTGAGTACCAAATTCGAAAATAAAAATTCAATTAGAAATTTAACACAACATATTGTTCCAAATGAAAAATTTTCGAGCTGGCCTGACCCCAGTTGGACCTCACAGGGGTTGCCGCCCCTTGAAGCCCACTCTCGGGGCGCCGCCCCATTTGAATCCACGTTATATAATTAGGGGGGAAACAAGACTTTTATCATAACAAACTCTAAGAAGTGTGCACACTCTTTGATGACTATTATGATAACAATGGGGTTCTATAGCCATTGGTTTTCAGTGGCTTCCAAAGTCACTGAACAAATTGGGATACTTACGGTGTTTTGTTCGTAAAATTTATAGTTCCTACCACTCCTAACTCCCCCGGCAAACACCCCCACCAAGTCCTGACCCAACCCACCCCTCCAACCACGTCAATTACGGGGTGCAAGTTTAGTTGACTTTGGAGTCAAAATTTTTTGTCAAATAGTCATTTCCATAACACTAAAACTTATAATGATTTCTATCCAATTTTAAATTCTATAATATCAGAGTATGTTTTGACCAATTACCATTATTCATCAATATGTTGAATCTCAAGAACTTGTCATTTTTTAGCTGAGTGGTCTGCATGTAAGGGCAAACCATGGCCTATGACCCATCCAATTTACTACGATGAGATACCTACTATTTTTGTTTTGTAATATTTGTTAACTTTAACTTTTTACAGTCAAATTTGATTAATTTTAGCCATCAATTAAATAAAATATGTATTGCATATTAGAAAAAACGGCCCGGTTCCATGGCCACTGGAATCCAGTGGCCACGGAAGCCACTGCCCCCTTACGGAGCTCCGTTCATAAAATTGATGATTCCTACCCTCCCTAACCCCCTCGGTAAACCCCCCGTCAAGTTCCGACCCAAACTAATCACCCCACCTACGTCAATTGCACCTCGTAGGTATAATTGACTGTAACGACTTGAAACCCGGCTTAGTAGTTAGTCGTTATTTTAATAGAAATGAATATATTATTTATTGACTTCAAAAGATGAATTATTTGTAAAGTCAACCATTTTAAATAAAAATTAGGTTTTCGAGTAGATCTCGTAAAATGGTGACCGATGGTATATAGTTTCTTAAGTTTGAACTTTTGTGTGAACCGCGATGAGTAAAATAGGCATTTCAGTTCAATATATAAATACAAAGAATTTTATAATATAATATTATAAATAATAATAACAAAGAAAAATGTCCTTTTCCTAATCCTAATCGAATTGGAGCTTATACCATTATAAATAGAAGTAGACCATCTTCCGTTTCTCCTTCTTCTGCCGCGCAACGGAACCAAGCAGACCAGGAGTTCGCCCGGAAATCTTTGCCGGAGTTCTACAAGGGTTTAATTCGTCAATCGAGGTGAGTGATTTATCTCTCGTTAGAATTAATTCGTAAGTTAGGATTCGTTAATATATTATCTCCAATTGATGTTGAATTTGTGAGTTGGATTGTTGAATACCTTGATTAATTGGAATTGATTGTATATTTGGAATGGGGTTTGGGTTGGATAATGACTATTTTCCTTTTTCGAACTTTTCTCTGCTATGTACTGTTCCGTCGCTCTCTCTGTACCTCCTCTGTTCTTCTCTGTTTGTTCCTCTCTCTGCTCGGAGCCGCTGCTGTGTTGCCGACCAGGGAGGTCGTCGCAGGTGACCCCGCTGCTGGACAAAATGTTCGCCGCTGGTTGGAGTTGGGGAGCAGGTACTCTTTGGACAATAGGATTGGGGATTTAGGTTTCTAAAATTGTAGATTGACTCCATGATTCTCAAGACGTTGCAATTAGGCCCTCTTCTATATTATGCCTCTAAAATATGAATAAAGGCTACAAATTAATCTAATGCATAGTTTAAACTAATGAATTGTGTAAGGGTAATTATGTGATTGAATTGGATTATGGGATCATGTCTCCTGGTATATCTAGGAAGGTTTGAGTTAACTGAATTCATAAGGATTAAGATTTAGGATTTAGGCCTGGTGGGGCGAGCTTCGCATAACTCACAGGTCTTGGGTTAAAAACGTACGTGCGGGAGTCATTAGCCTACCTTGGGATTCCATTGTAGGGGCTCCAACCCGCCCATTGAGGATTCTCTTTGGGTTTCATCAAGCGTGGCCTCGGGGGATCCGTCCGAGTGTCCATGACTTAGTTAATCAAAAGGAACTTTAGCCTATAGGGTTAAATGTAGAAAAACAACAGGAACTGAATATAAATAAATAGTTGATCATGATATTTGATAATGATATTTGCTGATTCTTCTGATATTGTGTGATTATATATTGATGGGTGCTAGTCTATGAGTTAGTTTTAGCGTTAGATACTTCCACTCTCCCTATTCTTACAGGTAGGGATCAAGGATTAGACGAGGAGCAGCCTGGAGGACAGTGAGACGTGACGCTGGTGGATGGCCCGATGCTGTTTGAAATTGAATTAAATACTTGTTGACTTTTATTTTGTTTAAACTACAAGAATGTTTGACGTTGTTGTTTTAAAAGCTTCCGCAACGTTTGAATTATTTACTCCGATTAATTATAAATTGTTTTTAATTAAATATAATGTATGTTTTATTTTAAATGTTTTCAAAATATTATGCATGTGAATACCAAATTAGTGACAACCCGACTCGCTAACTCGTCGTTGTGGGTTACGCGGGTTGGGGTGTTACATTGACTTTAAAGTCAAAAGTTTTGACTTTATACTTACGAGGTGCAATTGACGTAGGCGGGGTGATTAGTTTGGGTCGGGACTTGACGGGGGGATTTACTGGGGGGTTAGGGAGGGTAGGAATCATCAATTTTATGAACGGAGCTCCGTAGGGGGGCAGTGGCTTCCGTGGCCACTGGATTCTAGTGGCCATGGAACCGGGCTCTAGAAAAAATAGGATTTACACTCTATTGGAGTTTTTACATCGGAAAATAAAGATGAATACTACTAACATATATAAAAGGATGAAGCCCTACCTATTAGCTTAAGCTTTAATGCTAGAATAGTAGATATCGACTTTATATGCAAGTGATTAATTTTACCTGACACTCCACTCGTTGTTCTCGGCCCGTCAGAATTTTAACATGGTATCGGAGCAAGTCTGGTCCGAGTTCGATTTTTCTTGGTTGTTGAACGTGGGTTTAGCAAAAAAAGAGCTACCCATCCGTGGTTTGGATTGAGTTGGCTAAAAGAGATTGAAATGCCACCGCTCGTTGTTAATTTGTCTAGTTACAAGAGATTGAGATGCTAGATCCGTTTATTCGATCAAGTGCTAACTAGGTCAGGCTAGTTAGCAATCGAGGGGAAGTGTTAGAGTTCTCACGTCGTGTAAAATTGACTACATAAGTGCTTTTAAACAAAGTTAAAAATATTTATTTTTCACCTCAACTTATAAGCTACCACACTCCCAAACACCCCCATAAAAGGATGAAACCCTACCTATCAGCATAACCTTTTGGGTTAGAATTGTGGATCCCCACTTTATATGCGAGTGATTAGTTTTATTTGACACTCTACCCGTTATTCTCGCCCCGCTAGAATTTTAACAAGGATGAGCCTCATTCCTGAGGGCCCTTAGATCCAGCTAGACGGTTATTGAGAGTTGGTAAATTGGATTAATCGTGGTACTTGCAGAGTTGCCTCCCACCGTAGTTTTCATGAACGAAACTCGGGCCTATCCCCTTGACACTCCTTGCGTTTGCCAAATGTGTAATAGAAATCATTCTATGTAGCACTCTAAGACACCCAATATTACACATATAGCATTCCTTATTATTTTTCACACATTTGGCTATTTATGGCGTGGATCTCTTCCAATCATACCCTTTTTATAATGCAATATTTTAATTATTTCATTTACCATATTTATTGAGACTTATAATTTTAGGAGGTTATTCTCATTTCTCGTATGTAGCACTTAGTACCGTCGTTGTGTCACTCCTCACTGCTTAAACACATTTAATAAACAAAATTGAAAATGTATACCAACTTTTTTGGAAGTGTAGAATGGTCATGTTATGCCTACACGTTTTGGTAGTGTGTTATGCTCATGTTTTGGACAATGTGTTTTGGTTCATAATACTGAATTATACTTTCTGGAGCGTGTTATGCTCATGTTCTGGAAGCGTATATATACTAACTTAAACACATTTTTTGGCAATGTGGAATGATCATGCTTTGGCAGTGTGGATACGTACATGTTATATTGGGTATGACGCCAGTGTGTTATGCCTATATTCTGGATGTGTATATCAAGTTAAACATTTTTTTTGACAGTGTGAAATGTAAGGACAAATTTGAAATTGCATCCATACGAGTTCCAATATCCTATAGTAGTACTATTTTGGGTATTTTAAGTATATATTAGTGTTATACCCGTAGTTCTCCTACTCTGTAACTTCCACCCCACAAAATTAATTTAAAAAATGTAGGAAAAGGGAGGGAGTAGTAATAAATAAAAAGGCTGCCAAATAATTTGATAGTGTACGGTGATTACTTTTGGTCTAAAATTAAGCAGTGAAATGTTCACTCGCGTGCTGGGCATTGGGCGTATAATCACACCCATCATTCAGTTTATATGCAATCATTCCTTCCACAAAAGCAGAAACCAAAGCTTACATTTTCATCAGAAGTGACTGTAAAATCTTCAACACCAATGGGGTGTGGCATATACCAATAAGGCAATAATGAATGTACTTGTAATAAGTTCTATCTACATCCTTTGAATCATCGCCTTAGTTTGACTTCATTTGTTTTGAAGCAATATTAAAATGCCCGTAAAGACTCTACAAATAATGTCCTGGATGTAAAAATTAAATGATAGTGTGAAGGAAAAATGATTAAAAAGATAAAAAGATGAATTAAAAAGGATGCAAGAAAAGCTAGAAAAATTGGGTTAGAAAGAAAAAGAGATATGCTCCTAGAAGGAATGGTGATTGAAAAGAGGGATAGAGCAATTTTTTTTGAACAATGACAACTCTTTCACAAATAATCCATTCAATAATTACCATATGTTTGGGTATCATTAATGTGTTTTACTAAGTACGGACGGTACCGTATCGGTTTCGCTTCATTAATTTCATATAATCAGATATAAGGCGGTGGGTATTCATCCTGTTCGTTCAGCTCGAAGATGCCATGTTGTCGGGAACATCGCCCCCTGGTGCGGCATGCGGGAGGGAAGGAACGACCATGCCGTTATTCCAGTTATTAGTTTATTTGCATTTTTTCTTTTATTTTTTGTTTATTTTTTTTTGGCTTCTTTTTATTTTTGTTTACATTTTAATTTTACTTTTTACTTTTATGTATTTTTTGTTTTTAATTTTATTTTTTGGCTTTTGGTTAATGAAATGCTTAAACAATTAAGAAAAAATAAATTTATTTAATGGAAAAAACTAAAGTAGGGTTAAAATAAGAACATTATGCAAACTGTCTTCAATGGAGACAAATTCAGTCATAACGTCTTTTTGCACCCTTGTTGACTAGTTAACTTATGACGGTGATGGTGTGAGATTTATTTCTAGAAATTTGTGAGATAACGACGTAGAACATTAAATTGATGTGACAAATAGAACGACACATTACAAATTTCCAATACTGATATGTGTAACATCAACAATAACGCTAATTATACATCTCTATCTCTTGTACATCATTCTGTTCACCACATCTTTGCACCATATTTCGATGGCTTATATATATGACCACAAAATTTTTTTATACTCACATTTAGTCGTAATGCTAACCATTATAGTGCTTGTGCAAAACTATGCTCTTCAAAATGGTGTATACCACATTTAATGTATAGTATCTAACATGGTCCTAAAATCCACAAACACTATGTGCATAGAAAAGAGAGAGTGAAAGAGATAGAGAGAAAGAGAATCATGGAGGGATGGGCAAGATTATATTGATTCCTTGCTTGTAAAAACAGGCAAATCCATTCAATTCATAGTGTGCCACACGGGTACGGAGTATAAAAACACGGTTGGGGGTGACAGACACGCTCTGAAAACCTCATCAATTTTTCTAACAACGTTTCCACAGTGGAAGCACAGTCCTGTGCGACTTCTTTCTGTCAATCAACCCCCCATACTTTTCTTTCCTTGGGTTTTAGCTCCCCTAGTTTAATTTTAGTTTGGATTATGCTATGTCTATCCCAAGGTTGTACCCCAATTTGTACCCCGCAGTTTTGCACCAACATTTTGTGTTGGTGTAAAACTAATTTTTGTTAAACGCACCAACATTTATGTCCGTGTGAATTTTTATTAATGCACCAACACTTGTGTCGGTGTAAATCATCGAAATGTTTGTGCAAACCTGTGGTATACAAATGGGGTATATTTTTTGGTGTAAGTGTAGCATGGTCCTTTTAGTTTAATTTCATAGAGTACTAATGCCCCGTTTGGTACACAGAATTCAAACTATGAAATTGGAATTGAGGATTTCAATTCCAATTCTAGTGTTAAGTAGCACAAAAATTATGTGGATTTGGAATTGATAGTGCAAAAAATAAATTAGAATTGGTGAATTCAATTCTATGAAATTGAATCCTATGGAATTTCAATTCCATTTCAATTTCAATTCCATCAATTCTGTATGCCAAACGGATCTTCATTGTTTCCTCCCTCACACATCTTTCTTATGTTTGTATGCATATTTTTATTAATCATTTGAGATAATAGAAAATATTCCTATCATCTTTTGTTTTATACTCTTTCTTAGATCTGACAAAAAATGACTTGATCTGTTTTTGATCTGAAACTCAACCCGAAAACACTAGACTTTGAACAAAGGTTTTGTTAACCGAATCCCAAGTTGACCGAACCCGAAATGACTCGCTAAAAATGGGTCAAACCCGACCGAACAGATCCTGACCGACCCCCTAATGTAAGAGTTTTTTAAAATATTGTACTTTACTATAAAATATAATGTTATGAAAATAAGGCTATAATTATATTTTTCTTACTGACTCGTTTTTAGTGTATAGATGTATAATTCCAGATAAAAGTTTAATGATATTACATAATTATCTTATTTTTTCCAAAAATTATGCATTTTTTAATTCTTTATATTAATTTATATACCTAAAAATTACTTCACAATTTAAAATAAAATAACATATTAGATTTAATACATATTTTTTAATATTTTAATTTTATTTAATGCAAAATACAAGGGTTAATATTAATTTAAAAATTTTAAAAATCATAGTCATAACATGTTAGATCGACGCGAACACGATGACATTGGGTCATGGACATACAGTTCTCAACCCGAATTTGAATTCACCCGAGCACAAAGTAACCCGAACCCGATATGACCAACTGATTTGCAAGCTCTACTCCTTCCGTTCCTAAAAAATTTTCTTGTTTTGACTTTTTTGGTCAAAATATGACGCTCTTTGAGCACAAATTATGAAAAAATTGTATATTGAGTTATGGTGAAAGAGTACATTCTTAAAAGAGTATATTGTGAAAAAAGTATCTAATCTTATGATATACTTCATCCGTCCCTTAAAGTTCTTCGCTTAATGACTTTTTAAGAAATTAAAGGACGAAAATTTTTGTATTGACTTTCCA